CTCATCTTCAAATCAGGCTCCTACTCCATCTAGTCCACTGAGACTATTCCTTGGTGTCCTCCCTAGAGTTCCAGACCAGTACTGAATCCTTATCCTTCCTGATACACCAGCCACACAAAAACACATTAGCTTTCTTCCAATGTTCCTTAAACCTTCTTCACAAAGGCTCACATGCCTCAACTATGCCACATAATTTATATAACCTCAGAGCAACTGTTTTTGGCCTCTTGGTGTTTGCTACTTCTGCTTTAGATCTGGTGAGGACCCCGAAGGCTCACCTATTCTTCCCACCTGTCACAGTCCTATAAAGGAAATCACTCTTTACAAACCTTACCTAGTCCTTAGATCCTCATGGCTACACCAGTACTGCTATAACACCTTGGTATACTGTGTTGGAATACTGACACCTCACGAAAAGTGTCCTGATCTACTTGCTCACAGGAATCAGTTGTTTCTTGTCTTTGATGATATTTTTTTCTGAACTTATATAGCCCCTAGCATAAGAGCTTCCTGATTTATTCCTGGAACAGAGCAACACAGACAATAAGGAACAAATACATCTGACTTATATGTACCTTTATTTTGGATGTAATGGCAGTCTCTGTAGCATATTTTGTTTTTAAAACTACTCTTCCAAAGAGACCCTACACATAGATACTATACTAGCAGCTTCCAGGTAGATCAGACAGAAGCCTTGTTCAAACTTGATTAAAATCACCCTTGTGTGACTAAAACCTGCAGACCATGTAAGGTGTAACATCATCACTTTGGAAAACTAAAAAAAAAATTCCCTAAGCATTGTTTCAGTTTTTGTTAAACAGCAAAGTCTTAGAAGTATTGGCAGAGATGTGAAGTGTTAGTAGGTTACTACATGAATAACAATGCCCTATTTCCTTGTGCAGAGTTTGAGTCAAAGTATGTGGAAATGTTAACAAGTTACAGGGATGGCATTGCACTCATAGATATTATAGTTCAGGTAAGTCAATTTTTAGATCTTTGTGTTTAAATTGAGGAGAGGACTTTTTCCTCACTCCCATTAAAGATGCTTACTACATGGACTGACATACTCCTTCCTATTATTTATAATTTAAAATTAAATTACAAGTTTTGATTGATAGGAGCAACATGCCAGCAAAAAGAAAATTATTACCAAGCAATATAACCTTATATTATTTACTTAATATATTCCAAGACCATGTTGAGGTCACTTCAGAGTTCTACAACACAAACTATCAGAATTTTAATTACACTTCATAAGAGCTGGCAAAAGTATTCTCAAACATTTTTATCTCTTCACATATTCATAATTTTTTTACCTTAATAGCCAAACCACATTACTATATTTATTATTGCAATTCTCAGTTGTCAGAAAGACCAGTAGCTCAAGCATTTTGGTATTAGAAACAGAAAATGAGAATCACACTTTAAAAGATACTGGTTCCATGATACAGTGACATTATGCAGAGTACCAACACTTAGTTTGCTGATAAATAACTCACTATCAATGAGTTATGTCAATAAAATAAAGCACAATAGCTAATACACTTACTATATGTATCCTAAGGCTATTAAATACAATAAAACCAGCTTCAGTTACTAGGTTAGCTGAGTTTTTCAGGACTGATCACAATTATATACTTTTGCTACATTCATAAAGAAAATACATATTTCTGTCCATTAGCTATCTTATAAAATGGCTGTGTTAGAGTACTAAATATTGGTGCCTCCATCTCGGTGGTGTGTATTTGTACAACAAGCTTAGGAACATTAGCCACGTGAGGGTGACTAATTCAAAGATGAACAGCAGAGTCCTTGTGTGCCCAGCACAGCTGGCACCGCCCGTATTATTCTAATCAGCCTGAAGACAATCTGTTCAGGAAGGACCCTGAGAAACTTCTTGTGCACAGGTATTATTTCCTTAAGATATGAGTGTTAACCTAAGCTTAACACAATATTTACCATTTTCATATAGTAACTGAGAAGAAAAATTTTGCTTAAGCAGAGCAAGTTCACATTATGCCTTCTAGAGCTGACCAAGTGTCAAGAAGTGCAGTGAGAGAGACAGACACATGAATAAAAGGAGACAAAAGGACTAAGAATATAAGGCAGCAGGACAACAGTCATTTTACAGAAATGGTTCAATTTCCCAAACAGTCACACCACTGATTCTTTAAAGACTGGGAAAAGGTAGGAGGGTAACTAATGTCCTAATGCCCCAACCTCGACCCCCTTCCAGAACCAGGCAAGTTCCCAGTAAAAACAGAAACATGTTCATAGAGTTTTGGTAGTCAGAATAGGAATGGCTACTTCATCTTTTCATTTCTAAGGTGATAAATTTTGGGATGGCGTTGGTTTGTATTCTTAAATTTACCTCTGAGCTTCTCTGTGGCCTTGATGATATGTAACAGATCATGGCTGCTGAGGAGATTAAGATCAAACAAAGCAGGTGACCACACTGCAAATTATCTACACAACCTTACACAGTTGAGTGTGAAAATGAAGTTTGATTTAAGGATGGCACAGAGAGAGCATTCACTTCGCCCCTCCTCAGTGAGACACATACCCACTTCCACCTGTGAGAAGGCAAAACAGATTTCAGTGTTCAGAGTGTCCTGCTAAATTTGCATTATTTCTGTGATTCAAATTTTGTTTCACAGATTTATGGATTATTTTTTGTCTGTTTGACTATGATATTGTACATCCCTACACTAAATGAAAATATTTTGTTTGATATTCACAGCATATGTTACTGGTTTGTTTTCTGTAAACATGTACAAGTATCTTGTTACTCTGTTTGCATGGCACAGCTCTTTCAGAACACAGTGTTCAAGCCCTAGGTGCTTTTTTGAATTAGGACAATGACTATGCTCTTTATTTGCTAGTCTGTTCTATCTTCATTGTTATTCTAGCAGCAGGAATTAATCTGTGCAGAGGAATATGGATCTGAAGGAACAACAAGCAAACATAGTTTGTAGTAGCTCCAAGGGTTTCTTAATGGACACCCCCATTTACTCAAACACAACAGATTTGCAAACATAAAAAGCATTTTTACTCTGAACAGTGTCAGTGAAACTTCTGTCAGCAAAATAACTGAAGTTTGCATAACTTATAAATACATTTTGGCAAAGACAAATGCAAATTATATTTAGGAAACACCTCCACACTCTGAAATGCCCAGGCTGCAAATAGGTTTATACCCTAAGGATAGCTCACCTCAGAGAAGCACTGTGTCACCATTAGATGAAGAAGACTGTGAGCTGCATTTGTGTAGGCACATATATTCAAAAGCAGTTACAGTGAGATGGCATTACTTGTCCATCTTCTGAAGTCCTGCTGCCTTTTGCTTTTCCCAAACTTTCTGAGACCTCTTGAAGGCTTGCAAGAGACAATGCTAAGCAATCTAAGACACCAACAGTTACAGTGGTGCAAGCTAAAATATAGGTTAAACAGCAAGAGACCACTGCCATTGTTACCTCCTTTTACTTTGACTGGATATCCTGTTTGTAACTCTCTGCAGTAACACTTGCTGCCCTAGGTGGAGGCTATCTATACAGTATTGTTCTTGGAGTAGCAAAGAAAATATGGAACACTGGCATTATTCAGAGTAGACTTTTACTTCCAAATCCTCTGGTTTGAGAATCTCTTTGATTCAACTCCATAATTGCCACAGGGAATACGTCCAGGGCCAAAAAGGAGGGAGAGGTGAGCCACACGGCATAAAACCCAGCCTTTAGCTTTCCTTTGGTTTGCAGACTCCATCTCTTCCTTCCAAGACCATGCATGTTATGCTGAACTTCTAACCCAAGTGGAAGGGTGAAAATACCATCTACTTTCTCATGACTAAAACAATTTTAAAAATTTCCCTTCCACACAGTTAACTGAAGTCCTAGGCAAATCCTTCTCACATTCTTCTTTTAAGGAAATATTATTGCAAAAGGAGAGCATTTGGTAGCTCTTCCTCCTTTACATCTTTTAACCAGACTACTCACCATTTGTAGACATGCCCATCTCAAAAATTGCAAAATACTGCTGTATAGCTCCACAGTAAAAACCAAGTAAAAATACAGGATTTTGCATGTAGAAATCCTTATATCTGGTAGTATCTCATGTTGCAGTTATTAGTATCTATTTATACTCAACGAATACCTTCCATCCCCTCCCCAGATCCTTAGAATCTTTCATCTAAGACATTGCTCTAGCATAAGAAAAGCCATGAACCAGCCAACACTGCTAGGAATCTAGAAGTGTAGCTCTCCTTTCTTGGCATTTATTTCTATTACAAACACTTGTAAAACAGATTTTGAACATAAGTAAGAATTTCTTCAGCCGTTGAACTAGTCTTCTCTGAATAGGGAAATTTCTAGTCTGCCAGCTAACTGAACAAAAGAGCACTCACATGTGAATAAAACTCACAAAATACAGAATATTACACATTCCTAAATCCCCAGAAGTAATGTTACTTGAAACTGTGATTGCATATGGAAGTGCATCTTCTACCTACTATAGAAAAATAGGTCAAAAGCATCACATTTATTTTAATTATTAATTGGTATGTAATTAACTGAAGATTTATTTTTTTTTTCCGCTCAGGAAAACCACAGGCAAGAAACACACATTCTTGAAGAGTTTACAGCTGTTATGCATGACAAATGTACAAGCAGATGAATAACAGCAAGTATTTTTACAAATTCCTTGTGAAATATTCCTGACTTTGTGAACACTATGACTTGTAGCAAGTGTGATATATCACAGGAGGTAAATGTGGAATTTGCCACTTAACCATCTTATTTAGTCCAAGAAACTCCAAAGGATTATTCAGAGAATTTAATCAGGGTCTAATCTTCTCTACAGAGGGAAGTTAGGATTTAACCTTTAGCTATTTAGTTTAGTTCCTTGTGCCAGGCTTTGTGAATAACTGTCTATTACTCCACTAAGTTGTAAAACTCAATTAAATGGAAACAATCTTCAAGAAGATTGGATGAATGATCATGAAATCTCACCTGTATTTTGTGCAGGTAGAGTTTTGATGTGAAGGATCTGGTGGATTAAGTGTGATTCTTGGCGAGACCTGAGCTGATAGCAAAAATCCCGAAGCTAGGATAATGAGTGCTACAGCAGTACCTAAAAATACAGACAAAGAACAATGTGATACTTTTCTCTAGAGCACATGATATAATTCTCTACTGAACTGAACTCTGCTTGGAAAAGCAAGGCACTCCATCACTATGCACAAGGCATTCCCTAAGGAGTTGTGATGAGAACCTAAGAAAATACCCTTTGCGACATCCACATCTTGAATTAGGTTAAATGTTAAAGTCGAGTGCATCGAGTTTAATGTCCAGATATTAAATTAATAGGTTGACACTTCTGTAATATGTGGAATTGACAACTGCATGAATGAACAGATAATATTATTTTTGGTGTTTAAAACATTACTGTAAAGATAAAATCTAACAGCGACTTTGAAATCACCACACTTCTTCCCACTCTCACACCCAGACTTGCAGACTTTTCTGTAAAAAAGAAAATAGCATCAGCTTTTTTGTTGACTCTACTTCCCTTTGTGAAATGAGAGAAATTTGACATTTAATAAAAACACCATCAAAAAGTCCAACATCAATTTCTGATCTTGTTTCAAAGAGCACACATAACATCTGCTAGGAAAAACTCTCTTTCCATCTGTTTGCTCCTGTCTCCCCCAACAAATTCCTTGTGCAAGAGCTGGGCAAAATGAGGAGAGGAAGATGACAAAAGAGGTTTGTATTTTGTGCAACAGTCCATTACTACAACACAACTCACAGTTTTCCTACCTTATTTGTCACACACACACAATATACTGCATCATTTTAATGAAAACTGACATACCTCACTACTCATGATACTACTGCAAGTGCTTCAAACTCAGACCTAATAAAACCTTTACATCCTGCTACTCAACGATGCATTGAGATCTACACTGTACAAAATACCCTGTATACCTATTTGAATACTCACTATTTATGTGGCATATTTTATTTGAGAGGTCATATACAACATGTATGGCCTGATCTAGTAATAGCAGTAGAAAATGAGTAATAACATTACTTGTGAGTTAGTGACTGATCGCGCAATGACGTTATTCTTACTGCATAAAACCAGACTCACGGACCACGGAAGCACATCCCAGCAGGAAGGTAGCACACATTTACAAGTGTGCAGTGATATAGCTTAATGACTAAGGGCAAATGAAAGACATTGTGTTAAATTCCAAATACTTCTCATCATCTCTTTGCTCTGTATGTTAAAAGCATGTAAGTAATTTTCTCAGTAACGCATCTGTGTGAACCTTTAGAAATGCCATTACACTAAACCCCTCAACATGTCAGTCTGTTAATCTTTGAGAAATTATGCATTATCTGGTCTTTATTTTGAAGTTTAAACTATTTTTGCTGGGCGGAGAACAGAACGGACGTATTGGTAGTTTTGGGGGTGGGTTTGAATGTCTTTTTAAAGAGAAAAGCGAGATTTTCCCAGCTGGCAAACTCACCAGGTATGTGGAAACCTTTTCCTGAGAGATAAATAATATCTTAAGTACAAAGATGTGTAATATAATTATCCATGAATGTGCCTGTGCAGCAGTTATGGCCAACAGGAAGGAATGTGCATGAAGTGCAGAAGGCTGAATGACACATTTACCTGAACCGAGGCAACGAAGACATTAAACTCAAACTGTGTGTGGAAAAAGCACCTACTCACCGTAAGATATTTCAATTTATTCCATATTTGGCTTTGTACTGCTGTGGCCAGTAGGTACGCTAATAATACCAGTATTCTGGGCAGGTTGGATATTACACTAGATTTACTGTACTTTCAAAATGCCATAAACCAGACAGAAAATATCTTTAGACAGGACTTACAATCTTACTCATATTCATTTTAAATATGCCTTGTCTGTCTTTCAAGTTAACCAAATACACTAACATTCACTTCCAGAACCTCTGTAAATGTCTTATTTCTTTGGAAAAGTACGCAATATGTAAACCTGGGCAAATGAAGTTTAATATGTTTTCATTCTGTGGGAAGTTGTGCTATGATGAACAAAACCAAACAATTATAGCACATCATTAGCTGAGATGGGAAAAAACCCCAGAAATATCCTGAAGATATTTTAGATCCTCTCTGTTTTAAAAAGACACAGATTGTCCAATGCTCAAGTACCACCCTGCTTTCAAATCGACAAATTCTGAAGGGGAAAAAGAAAACCACAAACAAAATGGATAACACACTTGTCAAAATTCCTGCATGTTTCCCAATTAACAGCTTTGAAGAAAGAAGTTAACTGAAGAAAAAGAAGAAAGATAAAGAAATGATAACAAGTTATAAAATGAATGTGAAACTAAGATGATTTGGTAACTGCAGTAAAGAGAAAGAAAAATGTCATTTTTTTTTTTTAGTAGCAGTTTACTATAATTTTCTTAACCCTATATGAAGGGCTCAATTTTTCAAAAGTTTCTAATATTTTGAAAATTATAAAGACACATTAAATGAAATGTAAAATAGCTCTTTCTCAAAGTTTTCATAAAGCAGGAAAAGCACATGAGTTTACAAAATGAAATTACAGTATATCGGCTTTTAATCAAAATATTAATGTTACTATCTCTCTTCTGGTTATTCTTGCAGGTTTTCCTCTAATAAACATCTAATAAATTAGCCTTTATCGATAAAACAAAACCCCACAGCTGTGCAGCAGTAGGCAAAAATAGTAGTTTTGTTTTCGTTTTGTGCAATGAGAGACTGGGGCATACCCAGCTTCCCCAAAGACCAGACAAGCTGCCAGTAATAACTCAGTGTGAAAGTTAATGTCCTTGGAAATGCAAAGAAGAGCAGTAAAAAATATGTTTACCTCTTGAGAAAACTCAACATGGAAAACAAATCCATCAGCAGATTTAGTAATTATCATTCTATTACACAGTACTCTTGTTAAGGAAAACAGATCATATCCACCACTACCTAAATCAAAGTTTCAACTGTTGAATGAAAAAATTCTAAATGGTACAGAGAGATGACATATGCTTTCATTATTGTCATTATTTGTACTTTCCTTAAGGAGGGGCCACATGATAAAAACCACAGGAAGCAATGCAGCACGGCTCAAGTGATGCTGCAGACCGAGCGCCAGCAACTGACCACAAAAGAAAGACCATTTTTACAAAACAATTACTTTGTGTCCACACATCATTAGCAAATAATCCTTTAATGCATTGTTAATTCTATGTCTTATTTCTATATCCTACTTTGTTCCACGACTAATATGCTTTGTAAGAGACATTTATATCTACATTTCAAATGTAGAATATGTTAAACAGAGCCAAAAAGCAAAGAGCTTTGATCATATGAAAAGTCCATGTGGGAATAACAGCTTTACAGCTGAGTCCAGATAAACTTCTGAGGGGCTAGCTTGACATTTGAGATTATTAGGGCCAAATCAACAAATAAATAAACACTCTGTTCCAACAGAGTACAAAGGAGAGGTGGCACCCAAGCACCAGAAGTGTCAGTGCAGGGCCTGGAGAAATCTGCTTCACAGAAAGACAAGAAAACAGACTGGCTGGAGGAATCAAAGAACTTATGGGGGAGAGGTATTTTAATAGATCTGCATGCAGACTGTGATAAAAGTATCAATTTGAGATTTCTGTTGATATCTTTTAAGACGTGAGTAATGTGCTTTTACAATCTCCTCTGTCATCACCTCATTTCTGAACTTGGATTGTGAAAAACACTTCAGGTTTCTTGACTCCAAAATTATAACCAAGCAAATACACATTTATTGCAACTTAGAACACCAAACTGCCTCCAAACTGCATGTTTCAATTTAAAGATTTGAGTAATTGTGTACCAAACATATCTGTGTACCCAGACATGTCACTGGGTTGTCATTGTTCTGCCTATATAAACACATTCAAATACTCGAGTGTAGATTAACTCAACTGGGAGCTGGGAACTGCACATGGCAGCTGGTCCCACTCTGCTGTGTTGCACTAACTAGAAGTTTGGATCCTTGACAGCAACAACAGAACAAAATATGGAGACATTAAACCTTCCCAGCCAAACACTTCTGAACATTATTTCAAGAGGAGAAGGAACTGTTTCTCTTTTCGAAACCATGTTCTTGAAAATGTCTGAACCTTCCAGACATTCAGCCAGAGGCAGGCATCAGTCACAGATCACTTCAGCCAGAATGAGCCCATGATGCAGGAATAAACAGGGAATTAGCAGGTTAATGGCAGGACATACTAAACACAGGGTGGGTGCTTGCTCTGCATTTTCCTGCTTCCAAGAGAAGACTGTTGTGATGAGTTACGGTGTTTGAATATTTGGATAAAATGTACAAACCCAGAATTCTGCCCTTTAGTATCTCATACAGGAGATGAATTAAAATAACACTAATGTATGTAAGGTATTTACTGCATTGTATCTGAGGTAACTATGCAAAAACTGCATTGTTTTTTAAGAAGTGCTGCAATGGTTATGCAATATGCTTTCCCTGGTACTTCTTCATGAGATGGTTCTGAATTCCAGTTTATCCGCCAGGAATTACATAGGAGATTTAAAAAATAACCAGGAGTGAAGTTCCAAGCATTTGATTCCTTAAATTGGAAAAAAAAGCTAAAGCTAAATAAAAACATTGTTAAACATGGCTTGAAGGAGAAACTCACCTGAAAAAATAACATGCTGTCATTTTTAAATTAGCCTTTAACTGTGGTACTATACTACTAGTCTTGAAAGGCTGAATGATTTCAGGGAGAAGATGGTAACAACACTGTAATTTTAAAGAGGACTACTTTGAAAAAAATTGCTCTTGAAATTTTATTTTCCTTTTATTAATAATTATAAGGAAGATACTAAACACTAATGAAACACTCACCTGTTAAGCTACCAAGTGTAAGTTTCCGGCGACCCATTCTTTCAACAAGCCAGACTCCCACAAGAGTAAAAATGAAGTTTATAAATGCTGTCAGTGCAGCCAGCCAGATTGCAAGCCTGTCATCTTCCACTCCTGACATCTGCAGAATGGTAGCACTGTAGTACCTATGAGGGGAGGGAGAGACAAATACGAACACCATTTATTTCAATTTGGCTCATGTTATAGTTTCTGATTTTAAATTGAAAAAGATCATAACGAATATCAAGTGTGACCTCCTGCATAATGCAGCTGCAGACTGACATCCAATTATCCTGGGAAATCAGGCATAACCAAGGCATAACTCACACCTGACTGAAGTTTTGACCGGTGGACATCAACAGATGAACTGCTATTCTCTTGGCTGTTTGTATTTTCAATGGTCAGTCATACTCTGCTACAAATGGGGTTTGCATTTTTAATTTAAATTAATCTGGCTTTCAAATTCAGCCACTTTTTTGTGCTCTATCTATTTTTATGCCAATACATAGGATTTTAGCACTCAGTGTCTGTCTAGGGAAAGAGAGCTCAAAATCAAATAGATTTTCACTCCCGTTAAAGGTCATACGGAATTAATCTATGGCATCCAACATGTTGCAAGTGACACTTGCAACCTCCTGATTTTAGGTTTTGTAGTTTTATTTCAGTGCCACTGAACCTCACGAAACCCTCTCTGTGGTATTACTTTTGTCTAACCAGAATGTGATTGCTCTGAAGTTCCTTAGCACCACGTTGCAGGGATGTGAATCTGCATCCAACAGGAGAATTTGACAGAATGTTCTACTTCTCTCTAAAAGGAATCAGTCCTCCCACATAAACAATAACTCATAAAAAATTCAACTGAAGAAAATGAAAAGGGAGGAGAAATGAAGCCTTCTACCATTTTTCACAGAGATCAAATGAACACAGATACTATGCCCATGTTCTCAGGGAGAGCTAAATAAACCCTCAAGAAAACACATGAGTACTTTTGTTCATGCTGTAGAAGCACATTTCATCTTGTTCTATTAATTTATGCTGACTGAAATACTGAATATTCAAGCCCTCAAACACCTCACAGCCAACAGGCTATCACACAGTAATAACCATCAAAAATGTCAAAGCTCACTTTTTTCTTTTTTGGTCAAATTGCAACTTGCTTTAATGTCCCCTTGTCTTAATGCCCAGATGTGCCAGCCTCAGAAACTGTAGTGGCTCTCATTTTTCTATTGTAAACATAATCCGCTTTTTATTTCAAATCAATAATCCTTGATGTACAATATGCTCAGATGCCATTTAAGACACTACCAGCCATAAATGACAGTGCCTATGGCTGGATGTTACCCTCTCGCCTGTTGGCTAAGACAAGGCATTTAGAGCCTCCCAGCTCCCTTCCTCAGCTCCTCTTCCCTAGTACAACTATTTGAGGCCATGCCTATGCAACCAACTTGTGGTGCAGCAGGAGAGGACCTCCACAGTGAAACTGTTCAGATGGAGGACCCCATGTCTGTGTCCACGCAGGTTTGACTGCAACACCTCATCTAGGCTCATCTCAGATGCACACTATGAGATCTCAGCAAGGGATCTTGCAGTATTCCTGAGGAGAGGAAGATTCATGAAAGACAGACATCAAAATGCCAACATTAATGTGTCCTCACTTCTTAAGGTGCTCTAAATTAAACTGCTAACTGCCTGTCAAAACTTACATCATGCCGCCCCGTTTTAGCAACCAAAATGATTCCGTCTCTGATCTCCCAATACACCTTCCTTTTTCTTTTTAAGGGTAGGAAAATAACAATAAATGTTAAGTCCTGGCCTGCTGGCATGTACTATGAAACTCCCATTTACTTCCACCAGACAAGGCTTCGGGAAGCCATGTTTAACTCCACACATCCAAATCTTCTCAAAATCCAATTCTACAGGGAAGTCAGAAATTGCCAGTTGTCAGCAGCAATGTATAATGTACTATCTATACAGTCGAAAAAAGCAAAGAATAAAGAATCACATAAAAGCATGTCTACTTTGTCTGCCAGCAACATTCCTTCTGGTTGCTCATTGCACTCACAGGTTATATATCCTCAACTGGAAGCTTATTGTTTATCCATAAATAAACAATGTGTTCTAGTTTCTGAGGAAAACAAAGCAGAGAAATTCTGCAAATCCAAATGCCAAGCTACCAAAGCTTGAGTGCTGGGCAATGATGTTCATGGCATAGCAACCTAACTTCAAAAATTTAAAAGGGCACTTGCATAGATTATGATAACTACTAAATCAATTTGCTTATGTTTACTTATTTTAGTATTCCCATCTTTTATACCAACCTGTGTAGCCCTATCTGTATATTTAAATAACAAGACATCAGTCCTTTTAAGTTCCTCCTGACAAGGTAAAAAACCTATGTGGTAGAAAAAAGTTAGGTTGTGATATTATACAATCACAGTGAATACTGCAGGTCCTGCAGGGAACTGCAATTTCAGTAACAAAGTTGTGCAGTCCTAGCTTATTTTCTAAAACATAACAAAAATTACAAAAGCACCTGTGTATCCTCGGAATTTTTAAGCAAGTACTGTATCTTAGAAAGCAAATAAATAGAGGCAATTATAAAGCCACACAAATTAAGTGTGTTGGTGTATTGGGTCTGGCTGAGCTGGAGTTCATTTCCCCACAGTAACCCTCACAGTGCCGTGCTTTGCATTGGTAGCCAGAAGGGCGTTGATGACACACCGGTGTTTTGGCTACTGCTGAGCAGGGCAGCACAGTGTCTGTGCTGTAACATTCCTTCCTCAGCTGAGGGCAAGACACTGGGAGGGGAGCCAAGCAGGTCAAAGCTGACCCAAACTGACCAAAGGGATGTTCCATGCCATGTGACGTCAGCTCAGATATAAAAGCTAAGGAAAGGAGTGGGAAGGCAGGCATTCATTGTCTCCAGTGGCTGCCTGCTGAGGAACCATTACACATGCTGAAGCCCTGCTTCTCGGGAGTGGCTGACCATCACTGCTCATGGAAAGTAGAAAATAAACCCTGCTATCTTTTGCTTTGCTTTTATGTGCACAAGCCTCCGCTTTGCTCCTGCTTTAATAAACTGCCTTATCCCAATCCATGAGTTGTTTTCCATCTTACTCTCTCCCCTGTCTGGCTGGGAAGGGGAGTGATAGAGCGATAGAGTGGCTGGGTGGGCACCTGGTGTCCAGCCAAGGTCAACCCACCACAGTTGGGTATATACAGAAAATCTTTAATACTGTTTGTTTCTGAGATGTAAAAATTATGAAGTTGTTCTATCAAGAGTTGGTATACATTAAAAAAAAACTGGAGACATTTCCACAAATTTAAGAATCCTCATACTAATCTTTTGATTATATACTGAAAATGCACAGTTAATGAAGGAAATTAAGCACTTGAAAACACTTTTCCCCCTCTTCTCTTTTAGAGTGAGGTGTTGGGGTTTTTTTGCAACAATATCCAGTGTTTAAAGAATAGGATAATTCCCACCCTTCAAGCAGGTGTTATAGACAATTCTGGATGCATCAGGTTCCCAGGTTACCTCCTTCAGCAACAGAGAAACAGCCCATCATGCCAGGCTTTGTAGCTCTCAGTCAAAAAAAAAAAAAAGCCCGTCAGTAAGGTGCTATCAGAGTTCTGAGTGCCCATTTTTCACAAGGGGCTGCTCCAGCCCATCTGTCATACCAAGTCCACTCCACCAGAGTTTCTAAGGATGTCAGCCTTTTTGAACAGACTTTGTAATTCTTGCGAAATTAATGAATAAATCTAAGGCTGCCTTTACAGAGAACTGAAAATTAATTTGTGTAATAGTACTGTTGTTACTAAATGTTTTTAATCTGCAGATGTACACACCGTAGTCTTTAGTTTGCAGCTTGAGCTCAACAATCATACTGTGTCTGGCATTTCTGAAAATTCAAAGACACTGAAGAAACAAGAAACACAAGCCAGGGAACTCCCACTGGTATTACCACTGCTGGAAAGAGGCCAGGCACATTGAGTAACTGCAGTTTACTGAAAGATGGACTATACAAGCTTGAGAACACCTAGAGCAAAGCAGGTTTGCAGACAGAGCAAGCTTGCTTCTGCCTGTCCCACACATCCACACCAATGTTAAGAAAGAGATTTAATCAAGAAAGTTTAAATTGACACTTTCATCACTAAGGTCCTGCAGAATTACCACGGCTTCACTGATGCATTAAACTCTGGCAACTCATCTGTGCAGATGAACCCACAGAAACAGCAGGAGAAAGCAAGAGCAGCATATGGGAAATTAGATGCCAAAGTACTGGAAATGAAAACAAAATAGGAAGAAGTTGATATATCTGGAAGGAGCCAAAGACAGCAGATGTTCCAGATGTGGAGGCTCTCTGACAGGAGGGATGCTATGGCGCTGCTAAGCACTGCATGAAGCCCAGGGAAGGGAAGCAGGCACAGCAGAAGGTACAGTAGAAGCAGTAAAGTAAAAATATCCCTTGGTTAGACTTGTTTGAAATAAAGACTGTGGAGCAATGTAGCGACCTTGGATCATATAATCAGTGTTGGATCATGTGGTTCAACTTCCCAACTTCAAGTTCTACACACAACAGTCAGAAGGAAGAGTTACGCTCTGCAGTTTCCACTGAGGAAGTTGCATTCAGAGCAACCATGGATGTCAGTCTGGAGACCTGGACATTTATTGAAACTCTGTTGTTTCCCTGCCTACATCTCTAATCATGTCTGCCTAATCTCTTACCTTGTTTTTTAATCCCACTGTTTAAGCAGCTAGATTGGCCCAGATGACCTTTAGAGGTCCCTTCCAACCTTAACCAGTCTGTGATTCTATGAAACACAAATTTGATCACCTCCTTTCTGAACTGCCATAATACAAAATAGTAATATTAACTGTAGCACTGATATTATGAAATACCTAAGCATAGACCTACTTTTCAAAGGGAATTGCTTTTGCTGGAAAAAACTTTGTGGATGCTGAATCTCCATTACCTATGGACAATGAAAATGGAAAGTCACAGCAAGGATAAGAACAAATCTTACCTTTGACATTAGAGAAGTTAATCACAAAAGCTGTAAAAATCCATTTAATCACTATGATTTAGCATCAGTCCCAGGACTATCATATTAGTCAGTTTAGAGCCTTTAGATTCCTTAAAAA